CCCTTCCCTTTCCTACCTCCCTTCTTTCTCTTCCCTTTTTCCTTTCTCCCTCCCTCCTCCCTCCCTCCCTCTCTTCTTTCCTTTTTTCTTTCTATTCTTCATTTTTTCCCCAAGTAGTCAAAAGCTTATTTTTTCTCATTTCTCATTCTTCTGCCAAGAGATATGCCATTTTTCAGAGTCTACTTTTTGAATGAGTTTGACAGTTTTATTGTTAGTGTTCTTTCTGGGTGGTCTCATCATCTTCGATTTTATGAGTACTGTGGAAATAGCTTTATGCATTTCTTCTCGCTTTTTAAAACGAATGAATTTGTGACAATCCCATTTCACTCAACAATTACTTGATCAGGCTAGTAGGGCTGGAAATTAGAGACTGCTCCTAGGTTCATAATTTTTGCTACATCCCATTTGTATTTTCAGGAGTCTCTGCAATGCAAATTCTTGCTAGCCAATCTCCTCCATTTCAGGGTAGAAGTTTAATTTTTAAACCACATTATGATAGATGTGCATAGCAGTTCCTATCTGCTCACTTCAAAATTAGAAAGGGGGGGGGTGGGCAACACAGAGATTCCCCCAGCTTTATTTCCTAGAACAGTGATTTTGGACCTTTTTCATCTCATGGCACAAATAAACTAGTTACTGAAATTCTGTGGCACACCAAAAATATATTTTTTGCCAACATGACAAAAAGTAGGTATAATTTTGATTAATTCATACTGGACATCTATTGTTGTATTGGCTGTTGTCACTTACTATGTGACAATCTAAGGGAAAAAAAGTCAGTGGTCCTGACTAAGTCAGGTATTGCATGTTGTAAGGTCTTGCTGCACCCAGGTGGAAAATCGCTGTACTAGAGGGTATTCTGCTCAACTTCATCACAAATTCTCTCGAGCCATTCGTTATGCAAGACATTTACATAAGAACTTTGGGGAATTCTATCAATCTTGCCTTTTTTAAGCTGAAGTTTTGAGGCACAAATTAAATATTTTACAACTTCCCAGCTGTTAGTTATTGCAAACCTGGTTTCAGGCAAACCGGAACAAACAGCGAGGTTTATTCTATAATCACTTTAACAAAACATCCTAATTAAAGGGCAATCCCTGAGGAAGCGGAGTCTTTCTCTAAGTTACTGTTGATCCTCAACTGCTTAAGCCAAGCAGAGAATGCAGGAGGAAGTCCGGAAGCCACAGGAGACAGAATTGGCTTTCCGCTCTCTGCACCAACCACTGTGTCTGTGCAGCTGATCGCAGGGCTCAGAGTTACCACCTAAGGGGGAGATCCCCCCATTGGGGTTCACCAGGAGACTCCAAAGCCGGGGGAGTAATGCAGCCCCAGGCGCCGAGGGAGGCTGACACTGCAGTTCCCTTCCAATGCAGTTTTTTGGCTACAGCAATGTCTCCCATTCCTGTTGGTTTTCAATCCCTTTTCCATATCCACACTTTATGAAAAATCAAGCAAGTTTAATATCAAAATTTCTGACTTTTGAATGTTTAGAGTTCAAAGCTTTCTAACATTAGCCATGAAAGATTTGGTAGAACTCATTTATATCTTATTTTATGGTTTAAACATATACATGAATAAGTTTAGATGGGATGAGGTGAATATTTTTTTTTAAATCTCCTTAATATCCTATATAATAAAAGCATAATATGCAAATTGACTGAACAGCCAAACATCAAAACAACCATCCGGATGACCATCTGGGACCATGCTATGACACCCACTGGCACCAGGCCAGCTAAGGCTGGTGCAATGTGATTGGTTGGGGGCCTGGCCATTACCCCATAATCGCCCCAGCAGAGGGAGGCCCAGACCACCGACCGGTGGGCTGCGGCGGGTGGGCGGAACCTCCCTCTGTGAGGGAAGCCTGGGTCCCAGGTGCCAGAGGGAAGCCGGTGCTGGCAGCCGGGGGTAAGGAAGGCCTACTCTTTTTTTGTTTTTTAATTTTATTTTTTATTACAAAGGGTATTACATATGTGTCCATTTTGTCCCCCTGCCCAAGACAGTCCCCTAGCCTCCCCTATCCCCCAGTGTCTTACGTCCATTGGTTATGCTTATATGCATGCATACAAGTCCTTTGGTTGATCTCTTACCCTCCTACCTCCTGCCCCCCAACCCTCCCCGGCCTTACTCTTGCACGAATTTTGTGCATCAGTCCTCTAGTTCATATATATCTTGCAAGCCATCAGGCTGAGTTTCCCTTTGGAGTTACTAGTAACCAACTCTGAAGTTGTACACTTGTCCAGATATATTAATTCCCATCAAGATTTCTACTTTTTATATTTGAATAACACAGATATAAAAATGAGAGAAACAGGGTGGAGAACAAGAAATTGAAATCATTTTAGGGGAGTATCTCAGTGCAAAGAGGCCACGAGTCAATAAATGGAGAAGGCCTCAGGACCAGTATGTCTGGTCCTCTTAATTTCTTACAGCAAGCAAATCACTGCTTTACAAAGCACATGAAACACCTCTCTCCCACAATCATATTGTAAAATGCCCTGAAATGGCTATTAGTTTCCATTTTGTTTTGAAGGTGAACAATCTCAAATCATAATCATAAGAGCACTATGTACAAGAAGTATCAACCCTACTCCCTATCTTCTATTAATTTTTATTTACCTTTCTCTGATGGTACCTTGTGGGCAAGCTCAGAATTGCCTAAGCAATTATCATCCATATAGAGAAGTAGAAGAATGGGAAAAGAGACAATATTTGAAATGTGTTAAGATAATTGACTGATAACTGAGTAACACTGGAAAGAATGAGGATGCATTTTGAACCAATATTGGCAGAAATAATTTTCCTAAAGGCATTCTTTTAGAAGAATACCTCCTACGCTACCTCGCACACCTTCCCTGTATACCTAGTCAACGCCTTTCCCTGAAGTTTCTAGCTCAAGTGTTATTTGTTTTCATGAGGTCTTTTCAACCAGTGCAGCCAATTCCTGTTTATCCCTCAAGAGAGCTGCTCTCATCTCTTTCACGTCTGTACCTCCTCCTCCCCTTTTTGGCACACTTGAGGTTCTTAATTATATTTAATAATGACTGCATCACCACTAAAATGAAGAAAGGGTCAGGAGGTATGCTGCATTCATAAGAAGGACATTATGAAGCCACGGGCTTGGAAATGTTCCAGCAAATCCAATTAAGCAGCATAGCATAGAGATTCTTCATCAAAATAGATATGTGAATTGGATTATGGTAGGATTGCATGGACATGAAAAGCACGCAGGGAAATAAAAGTTTTGTGCCATCCCGGCAGCTGTGACACTACATTTTAGTTTCACGCAGACTGTGAGTCATTCGAGTGAGCGGAAGGAGCACATGAGTCAAGTGGAGAGCCCCATCCATCCTGGGTGTTTTATGGGACCTTCAGCACCTCTGCCCCATTTGTCTCCACTCCTTCTGGTAAGAGGTACGGTCCCTGGGCTTGGGGAAATGATATGACCTCATTTCTTAGAATCCTTTGCCTGGAGTCACTGTCTCCCGTTGCCCCAGGGTCAGTTCCAGAGCATTGGTGGAGGCTCTGCTGGGATAACCTGCCCTGGGCATTCACTCACAAACCTCGTCTGGAGTCTCAGCTCCACAGTTACTTACAAACTTTCAAAGTTAAATGGAAAAATAAGGTATCTGTATAGCATATCCTAACTGTCTTTTTATTCTTTAGAGAAAACAGATCACATCCTTGTGACTTTAGGCCCAGCTATCTTGGCCTCCTTGCCATATGTCTACCACCAACTGGGCTCCAACCTCAGGATGTGGTTTCTTTCTGGTCCTTCTGCCTGAAGGGCTCTTGTCTGACCTAAACACAAGGCTGCCTCTCTCACTGCCTTAAGGTCAGTGCATATAGTTTACCTGTCAAAGAGATCTTCTCAACCCGCTATGGTCAAACAGTTCCTAACCACTTTCTATTCCCTCTACCATGCTTTGTTTTTCTTTAGAGCATTTATCACTATCCCTATATGAACAAAATGTATAAATATTGAGAGTAGGGACCTTATTTATTGTTTTACTCCCATACCTAAAATAATGCCTTTTTTATATAGGTCTTCAAGAAGTAATCCATGTTGAATAAATAAATACATAAATTAAAGTTTGCTAACCTACTACGGAAGGGTATTGAGCTTTGTGAATTGCCACTGTGTAGCTCCACAACTTCTCAATTTACATTGCCTACGACAAGTTAAAGAATAAGTCTATAAACTGTAAAAGCTATTTCTCAAGTAAAACAGAATAATAAGGTATTTGTATAGCTTAAATAACATCTTCTAGGATTCAAGTTATTTTCCCATAATGTATAATATCACCTCTAGGGTTGTCCCAACTAGGTTGGCCCAAGTTTGCCTACTTCTAATACACTGTCTTGTTTGCTTCTGCCAGAGTGATCTCATCAAAATGCACATATAATTAAGTCACTATTTTAAAAAGCCCATTAATGACTTGCTTAGGAGAAAGCATATTATTGCTTTAATGACATTCCTAGGACAGAGTTCAAACTTTTTAATTTACTCTGGTCAGATTTGGAACTCATCTCACAAGCCTCGTCATACGTCACCTCTGTGTTTTGGTCTCGATGGCTCTTTCCCCCCCCCGGCTCCCAACAGTTCCATTGTCTGTCTTGGCTTCAGCCCTGCGTTCACCTTGCCCTCCCTTCTTCCTCCCTCAATTTCTAATGCACGCTGTGGCGCAGCTAATTCCTGTTCGTTCTTCAAGTCTCAGTTTAAATGCAAATCTTGATTATGTTTGTCTATTTGCCTATCAACCCACCTCTCTATCCATCCTATGTTAATATGATGGACAGGGCCAATATTCAACTGGGTTTGAACTAAAAATGTCAATTTCCTATTACTTCACCGTGAATGTTTGTCTTTCTTTGTTATACTCTAAGATCCACAAGCAAAAGATCATGCCTTCCTTATTAATTATTATATCCTCAGTGCCTAAAGCTTAGTGCATTTTCTTTCAATATTCTTTGAATGAATGTGCTATCCCGTGTCCGTGGTTACTATTATTGTGGAAACAGCATTTGTTTATTATTTTAGAGCTGTCATCATTACTTTGTAAAATCTATTCAGTGACTATATTAAAATCACAAATGAGGGTAGATTATTTAGAAAGAGAAAAAGGGAAAGGTTAAAGAGGAGAAAAATGACAAGGAAGAGTTTGCAAAAAGGAAGGTAGGACAGACTTGAGAAAGGGTGATGGAAGAAGAACCAGAACAAGAATAAAAATGAGAAGGGAAGGAGGAAGAGAGAAAGAGGACAGAAAAGGGAAGGAATATGGAACTAATAGGCCTCATAGTAATTTCACTGTCAGCTATTTAGACAGTTGTCTTGTGTCATCATATTTTCAATACACATGCATTTCTTATTTTAATCCTTGTCTGAGGATATGTTTTTATTGATTTTAGAGAGAGAGGAATTGGGAGAGAGAAACATCCATATGTGCCTCCACTGGGAATCGAACCCTCAACCTTTTGGGGTAAGCGATGATGTTCCAACCAACTGAGCCAGTAGGCCAGAGCCACATGTATTCATTCTTTTACCATTTTTTCATGGTCCCAGTTTTGATCGCCTAGCTTTAAGTTTATAGATTACAATATCTTTTTTCAAATACTACTCATTTGCATGAATTTCTATCTCTTTCACTTGTAAGTTGTAATCTCTATAGTATATTTCTGTTTTATTATTTAGATTTTTTTCTGTTGTTTTCATTTCTTTCTCTTGATTTTTATTTTCTTATTTAGCTATATGATATTTTTATTTAATAAAATATTTCTCATCTTGTAATTTTGTAAAATTTGCTTATACTTAGTGTTGTGATTTTTTATATGAATCACAATAACTATCAAATCAAGAAAGTAAAGTAGATTGTCCTTTATATAAAAATTAAGTGTCAAATATTAAGAACCATAACATAAACAAATAAAAAATATAAATTACTGTTTTGCATAAGCATCATAAAACAGCCAAAAACTATGCAAATTAATTATACTTCATATTATGAGAACTATAATTAATGCATAATTAATTTATATTTACATGGCATTGTTGACGACTATACTCATTAAGGTTTTTTGGTTTTGCATCTAAAGATATAGAAAAAATAAAATATCCCCCATGATGGAGTTCATTAACTTTTTTAAAGAGAGCCTTTGAAGCTGAAGTAGCAAGGAAGATAGAAGTCAGAGCGATAATGATTGAGGAAAGGTCTTACCATCTAGATCATTCTCTGGGGTCTCCGCTGTGTGCCAGTTGGAAGCTGGTCCCGTGCCATTGACTGTCATGGCTGACACTTGAAAACTGTACTGACTTCCTTTCTCCAGTCCTAGGAAAGAGTTTTCCACAAAGAAAAAAAAATACTGAGTAACTATTCCTGGCTGAATTTCAAAACTTAAAGTTAAATTTTAACAAGTGTAGACATGCTGTATGTTGTTTGTGATGGTTGAGGTAATTATTGTTATTTTGGCCAAAAGGTCAGACATATTATAGCAAGAACTCAAATATTTTTCATATATTCTTATTTATTTTGGTCCAGTTTAAAAAAATGTATTCCTGAAAATAGCCTCAGGGTAGATGCAGAATATAAAATATGAACGATGAAGAAATAATCAGAAATAGCAAGGATCATTTTTCCTCACAGTCCGGAAGAGGCCTGCCTATAAATCAAAAACCATCAATCTAAAAATTTATGTCCTCATCATCCATCCAAGGTCAGTGATTATGTTTTATTTGGGCACAGCCAAAAGAATCCAAAGCTACTGCACTTCAGCAAAAAATATTAGGGCTTTCGTCTCCCAAAACCGTCACAAGGCATTCTCTGTTTTGCATTGCTTCCATAATAGAGCATGACACAAGTCTATCTCTATGATAATTAATACAAATAATATTGTATACTGCAGGCTAATTTTAGAGTACAGGTAGATGAGAGAGCCCGAGGATCATTAGTGTGATATGTGTTAATTTTGTATGTAAATAATTTTCCTTTTAGCTGAATCGCTAGTAGCTCATTAACACAACAAATTACTGTAAAACAGATGACACCTGTCAAAGGAACACGTGACTTTTTTGAAATGTTGAGGACTCAGTTGAAATTGACAAGTCCTTAAATCTCAAGGTGTTGAACAACCCTGATAAAGATAAAAATATAATCCCTCTTTGTTTTTTTTCATTAATCACACATGGCACACACATTTGGTGCCAAGGAAAATTCCTAAAGAAAGTAAACTACTAAGGAAATGAGGCTTATATAATGTACAACATTATGCATTTGCAGATTTTTGCATAGGAGAATGAACACATGTTGGTATTAAGGGGAAGTATAACTTACTACTCAGAGGAGATAGTGTTTTAAGTGATGGATAGGATGGACTTCTTAATGTCAAGGGACAATTGGCATCAATAAATAGTACCATTAGAGAAGACAACTTGATTAACTCGCCCACACAAAGGTAACTATAACACAAAATGTCCCGTTAAGGACTTCTGATAAGGAAAACAGACTGAAGCTCCATGAAAACATGGCCCGAGAATGGTGTTGGTACTGTTGTTTTTGTTATTATTGGTATTTTAACTGTATATCTACAGAACCCAGCCTAACACATGAAAGGCACACACATAAAACAACTATTGAAAGATTCACTAACACACGAAGAAACTATAATGATAAAATATCCAACATCATCAGGAAGGTGACAAACACATACTTTTGAACATAAGATCTTTGTCATGCCTCACGGAGGCTCACTGCTCACCATGTTTGTCCTTTGGTAATCTGATATTTGTTAATATCTGATACCTTCTTAATGAGATTTAAGTGCACAATACAGTATTGTTGACTGTAGGCACTATGGTGTAACACAGACCTCTACAACTTACACAACTTGCATAATTGTCACTTTATACCCACTGAACAACTTCTCATGTACTCTCTCCCTTGTCCCTGGCATTCTATACTCTGCTTCTATGAGTTTGACACTTTATACCTCATGTAGGTAGAATCATGTAGTATTTGTCCTTCTGACACTGACTGATTTCACTTAGCATGTTTTCCATGTTGTCTCAAATGGCAGGATTTCTTTGTTTTTAAAGGCTGAAGGCTAGTCCATTGTATGGAGATACCACACTAAAAGACTCCTTTGTCAGTGGACATTTGGGTTATTTCTTTATCTCGGCTATTGTGAATAATGCTGCAGTGAGCCTGGACGTGCAGTATCCTTTCCAGATACAGATTTCAATTCCTTTGATGTATTCCCAGATGTGGGATTGCTGGGTCATTGGCAGTTCTATTTTTAATATTTTGAGGAACCTCTCTACTGTTTTGAGTGTAGTTTTAGCTTTCAAAGTTAATGTTGGTATTAGTGCATAAATGTTTGAAATATTTTAATATTAATAATCCTCTACAGATTCATATAACAGCCAGTCATCTAGGGAGCTAAAGACAACAACATTGTATAGCACAGGCTGCATGTAACCAGGAGTCAGGACACCTGTCATTTAGTTGGGCTCATCAGTTTAACTAGTAAACAGATGTTAGCAATGTCAGGCTTTGGGCCTCTGCTAACTTTTCTGTTAAACAAGGGGAACAGGTGAGATAAATGGTATAGTTCCTGCTTTGGTTAGTTCAGGCTCCAATCTCTGTGTGTGTGTGTGTGTGTGTGTGTGTGTGTGTGTGTGTGTGTGTGTACGCACGCATGCGCACATGCACATGTGTTACTCAGCTGCTTCTAACCATAATTTAATTCTAAAAAGAAATGTATGGTGTAGGTAACAATTCTTTTCTTGGCTGTAACAAAATTTCACTGTCAAAGCTGATTGCCTTCTGCCTATTTCTATCTCCAACAATACTAAGCCCCTTCAAGCTTTGTAATTCTTTTGTTCTATTTCTCATTTCTTAGAGCTTATGGCAAGAGATGGTATATTATTCAAACAATATGTTCCCCCTTTATTCTCCTAATGTTAACCTTGTTATAAAATGTCTATGCTATTGTTTTAGTTTTTCAGGCCTTGAAATATCAATGTGTGTTTATCATTGTTTATTCTATCTCAGCCATGAAACACAAGAAAACTCCTGAACTCAATCCCAAACAAGCTTTTCTGAAGAGCTCTCAAAAATTACAAACAGCATTTTAAAATATAGTTGACAGGGCTTTCCACAATAAACTCATCATTGTGGTTTAAAATCCTTGTTATAACTCGGAATTACTTTGTTATTGCAGATGTCTCATTCTCCTAGCAAAACACACAACAACAACACACACCTGTATAACACACAGAAGTTTGTACAAAAAAGTGTTTGAGTGTCTATACCTGAATATTTATTTATATTGTCAAATGAAACATCTTGCATTTCCAATTTTCTAACGGCCAAATCAATATATCCACGTGTCTTACAGGTATTGAAAATATGGGGTCAAATCCTGTACTTTTTAAAGTGTTGTAGATCACCATAGAAAAATCAATTAATCTGCTTACTAGAAAGTGCATAAGTTACTAAATATATCCTGGGGACAAGTGAAAACCACACACAGACAATCTACCAGTGTAAGTTCTGTGCTGACTTCTCCACGCTTGGCAGCATTGCAGATATTTCCACAACATCTAGAAATGCGGCAGGCACAAGGGAAGCCAATCCACATGGCAGAGGAAGAGAAGGCAGATGTTTTGTAAAACTTGTTTTTAATGTTTTCAGGGCACAAGGCTATTTTCTGGCTCTTATTATTTCTTTGCTTCACATTAAAACTGGCACTTGTGAGGCTTTTTTGCAATAAACATCAGTTACAGTTTTAAATATAACTGCTCAGGTGATGTTTGCGTTTTATAAGTATCGAAAGGAAGAAAGAACAGTATGAATGAAGGCTTCAAATTTGGAGTCGAGATTCCTACAAAGCTATGCAAATGAAAGCGAGCATTTGTGAGCTAGTCCAGTAACAAGTTGAGCTACTTCTTTGCCATGAGCTGGAATGATATTAAACCAGAGTGGTGATGGGTTATGTCATGTTGATGTGAAGCTCTGATTGTCACACATATTTTAGATGAATAAAACATGTGGGACTAAATTATTTATTTTTGAATAAACAACGTTTATGAGAGGATACAATTCACAATAATTGTCCTTGAGAGAAAAATGATAGGAGGTGTCTCTGGTGAGTTGAATAGTGTCCCCCTGAACATGAGAATGTGACCTTCCTATAAAATAGGACCCCTGCAGAGATAATAAGTTCGAGATTTCAAGATGAGTCTCTCTGCCCCTCTCCCTTTCTCTCTCTAAAAATTAAAAAGCCCTGGCTGGTGAGGCTCAATTGGTTGAGTGTCATCCCAGACATCTAAAGGTCACTGGTTCAATTCCTGGTCGGGCACAGACCCAAGGTGCAGGTTTGATCCCAGTCGGGAGTATACAGGAGGCAACTGATAAATGTATCTCTCTCCCTCTTCCTTCCTCTCTAAAAATCAATACAAACAGATTTAAAATATTTCAAGATGAAATCATCCTGGATTTATGGTGGGATATGCACCACGACCGGCGTCCTTATGAGAAGAGGAGGGGCCATGGAGACACACAGAGGAAGGTCTGCAGAAATGGAGGCAAATCTTTGAGCAATGCACCTATAAGCCAAAAAATGCCAAGGATTGCCAGCAACCCCTGGAGGTTAGGAGAGAAACGTGGGACGAATGCTCTCTCATCACCTCCAAAAGGAACCAATCCTGCGGATGCATTGATTTTTAACTTCTCACTTCCTGAACTGAAAGGAAAAAAAATCTGTTTTAAGCTACCACATTTGTGGTAATTTATTATGTCAGCCCTAGGACTAATATAGGGTCTTTGGTAGTGAAAGGCTTATGCTTGCTGTTCTCTGTATAATCATTTTTAACAAATGATTAGCTATGGTAAATTGTGCTGCTATGAACATAGGGTGCATATATCCTTTCTGATTGGTGTTTCTGGTTTCTTGGGATATATTCCTACAAGTGGGATCACTGGGTCAAATGGGAGTTTCATTTTTAGTTTTTTGAGGAAACTCCATACTGTTCTCCACAGTGGCTGCACCAGTCTGCATTCCCACCAGCAGTGCACGAGGGTTCCTTTTTCTCTGCATCCTCGCCAGCACTTGTCGTTTGTTGCTTTGTTGATGATAGCCATTCTGACAGGTATGAGGTGGTATTGCATCATTGTTTTGATTTGCATCTCTCGGATAATTAGTGACTGTGAGCTTGTTTTTATATCTCTTGGCCGTTCTTATGTCCTCTTTCAAGAAGTATCTATTTAGTTCTGTTTCCCATTTTTTGATTAGGTTTATCTTTCTTTTGTTAAGTTGTATGAGTTCCCTGTAAATGTTGGAGATTAAACTCTTATTGGTGATAACATTGGCGAATATGTTCTCCCATGCAGTGGGCTTTCTGGCTGTTTTGTTGATGGTTTCTTTATCTGTGCAGAAGCTTTTTATTTTGATGTAGTCCCATTTGTTTATTTTCTCTTTAGTTTCACACAAATTTTGTGCACCGGGCCTCTAGTATAGGATAATGAACAGCATAAACTGAGGAAGAAAAACAGATCCAGAGACAGAGAAGCATCGATCAGACTGTCAAACCTCAGAGGGAAGGTAGGGGAGGGTGGGGGTTAAGGGGGAGAGATCAACCAAAGGACTTGTATGCATGCATATAAGCCTAACCAATGGACACAGACACCAGGGTGGTGAGGGCATGAGTGGGGTGGGGGGATAAGGGCACATATGTAATACCTTAATCAATAAAGAAAAAATAAAGGAAGAATAACAAGTGAAAAAAATGATTATACCTTCTGTAGAAAGAAAATTCTTTATGTTTGTCTATCTACGGAGTCTGAATCTTGATTTGATGTTACTGAGTTTAACGTGACACTTTCCATTTGCAAAAAACATTGCACAAATACTAAAAACATCACAGCAGCAAGTTCTTTTGGCCATGTGGCTACTGTTCCACACTTATTTTCTGGGCCAACTCACTTAGCTGTCTAGTGGGAGTACACTTAGCTATAGTGGGAGGAAATCTTCAATTTTTGTAACCAAAAGTTGCAATATGACACTAGAGTCCTGACCTTTTGTTTTACACTTTACATATGCAATTAAAAATACATATTTTATTGTTATAAAAGTTAGAAGCAATCACTATTAATATTTGATATCTATTATTCTAAATATTTTCCAATGATTTCATTTTTTTGGTTTATAAATATGGACTTATATATTAATACTGATTGAAAACTAAGTTAGTGATATGTTTTAAATATTTAATATATAATTTAGTATTTTTATATTACTTCATTTTCAATAGATGTACAATACTCCATGATATGATTATGTCTGAAATTTCTTGTTAACTGTCTATAATTGGATGTTTAGGATCTTTTTATTATTTGTTATTAAAGTAACAGTGCAAATAGTTAATCATTCTTAGAGTAAAAAACTTTGCCAAAAATATGATTGTTGAATTGGAACAAATTGCTAGAAGTTGCAAACCTAAAATGTATTCTTAAACACACACATACACACACACACACACACACACACACGTACATACGTATATACATCTGTATATAACATATGCACATTGCTTCCAGAAATATTCTAGAAATTTTATGTCCCACAAGTAGTATATGAAAGCTCGTATTTCTCTTATATGCTTTCCAGAAAAGGGCATCATCATTCATTTTTACCTTTATACCTTTAAACAAAGGAAAATGCTAACTTGTTTTTGTTGTAATTTATATTTCTCTACCAATAAGATTGAACATTTCATCATGCTTATTCGGCATTTATAGTTCTGTAAATTGAATATCCAACTCTTAGTTTTTCTATTGGAATGCTCATAATTAAATTAATTATTTTATAAAAAGAAGTTTTTTTTTGTATTTAATCTCTCATTTGAGGGAAAAAAAAGCACTGTTTAAAAAAAGTTTCAGGGCTTCCAGTGCCCATATCTATTAAAATATAAGGCTTCCATTAAATTATCCTTAGAGTCTTTCTTCTGGACAAACATAAATCTTAGGAATTATACTAAAAATTTTCAGTAAGAATTTAAAATTTTGGTGATTTCTTCCAAAGGATAGTACATGTTCTATTAAACATAATAAAGAACACATCTACCTCACTTCAACTTCAATTATTTTTACCTACTTCTGGTCATTTCATCAGAGAAAAAGGCAGAGGATCTTGGCTTTTCCTAAGCTTTTTAAATGTACAGTAGAGTGCCATGACTTCCACTTAGAGTTAACAATACCTCCCTGAGAGATTTTGTCCAGATATAAAACAAATAATACACTTTTTGGCAATCTACCTTGGAAGCGCTCTCATTATTATGCTAAAATGTTATAGGCATAAAAGCCAAACAACCTGAGGGGGAAAAACAGATTTCTATCAATTTTAAGACTGTAGGCTGAATACGATCTTAAAGTGTGTGTGCGTGTGCCTGTGCGTGCGTGTGTGTGTGTGTGTGTGCGCGCGCGTGCTCATGTGGGATGTGCACCTGTACTATGATCTATGATTGCAAGGGGAAATTTACCGATTACGTACCACAGAAAAGGGAATAAATAAAGGGTTGCTTTCTTTCTTCTCCTCTGCAGTAATAGTTTACCTCTGCATTAGCTGTAAGTTATGGGTTTTAGTGTGTAGACTGTCCTAGGCACAGTTTCTGTCCCATCTCAGGTTGGCTCAACTTCACTCACCAATCCTTGCCATGAGCCACCATGATTTGCTGTGCTTCTCAAGCTAGTAGGCAAGATTTATGCTCTCGGTGTTATCAGGCCCTGAGTATTGCTGCTACACCAGGCCCACCTACCCTCACATAAGTGCTGACCGACAAGGAGAATTCCATGTTTGCACACTCCCTGGAGCTCAGGCATCCCAGGGAGCTGTGTGTAGGTCCAAAATCCAATCTGCCAGTGGATTTTGACTAATGATTGTTAAGAGAGAAACTGCTCACACTGCCCATCCAGCCATTGACTGTGAGACTCACAGTCTCTCAAGAGACACCATAGGAGGCCAAGCAAGCTCTGTATTTGTCCTAAACGCGTGGCCAGCTCAATAACATGCCTCCATGATCCGATTTCCCTTCTGCCCTGGCTCCCTTCCCTTGTCCTCTCACTCTTGTTTTCCTGGGCTTGCCCTGCCAAAGGCCTTATTTTAGAAAGCCTGCCTCAGCCTCTGTGTTCTAGGAAAGACACTAGACTGGCATTGTATGACAATAGCTAAAGTAAACATATAATTATTAACTTTATTAAAAATAATCCTCTACTACCTGAAAACGGGGTCCAGTTTTCACAGAGAAGTTTGACCTATCAAGAGTTCTACCAATATCGCTATAAAAGTGAATTTACCTTGATATCTATGAACTGTAGAACAATCTATCTGTTTATTCCCCAAGCGAACCCTTCTTTCCATTTTCCAACACCATTACCACCCAGGAGATTGGGGGAAGTGAGACCAAAGTGGCTTAAACTTGGAACCATTTAGTTATTAGCTAAAAATTTAGAAGTTGCTATATTTAGGTGCTATGTTAAATCAGCAATGCTGAGAAACTAAAATAGATTTTAAAAAAATATATGATGTTCTTATTAAGATGTGATCCAGAAATAAAATATATAGGGAAAACATTATAGAAAATACCAAGTTCAAAATATAGAGGTTATTCTTGTTCAGACCAACAAATGTCACCTGCCAGGAAAAAAAATGTTCCCTTGAAGTGAGAATGTATTCTATTCCCAAAGCATTTAATTCATCAAAAACTTGTAAGACTACACCGTGTGAACACTGACCTGTGAACAGGTACCAGAGGTTGTTTGGCTCCAGTGTTTCCATCTCGCCCCTGCGGGTCGTCTTCCTGTGTCGAATTTTATAGCCGGTAATAAATCCATTTTGTGTTCCGGATGGAGGAGGCAGCCAGCTCACTTTGATACTCTGAAAAAGAACAGATGCAAATTCAAACAGAGACAGGATGGACGACAGAACAGGGTCAAGGAAATGACCCGAACCTACCAGTAAGTATAAAGCTGAGAGGCAAGTGCTGGGGGTTGCCCCTTAGAACCAGATTCAATGCATTTGTACAATTTGGCAGTATTCCTATTTGTCTAATTTTGACAAAAATGCACTTCATTTGATTGACTACACTCTTTGGGAGATAAACTAATGAATACAAAATAATGATATATTGTCTGTGGCTCCCAAAGAACTCATAGCTATAAATATATACAGAATCGTCCATCCCTTATTACCCCTGCCACATTCATGTGTGTGGACATGTTCTTTGCTCTCATGTGTTTAAGAAAACCAGATTTGATGAAGAAGTATACCTTCTATTTTTATTTTTCAGTGCTCCAAGGTAGTAATAGCAGATATTACCATTATTTAAAAATTTTACAAAAAATGAAATTGAGGCACAGAGTAAAATGAATGGGGCCAGAGTGACCTTGTACCGTCACTGGAAGATTATCCAACTGTTGATTCTAACATACGTTTATCCATTCATACTAAAATAAATAATCATAGGGTGTCTACTTGCCGATTCTAATCACCTAAATTCTCCTATACAATATTCTTGAAAGAAATAAAACTGAAATCATCAATAAAATTGAAATCATCAGATTTTAAGCTATCCAATAGGCCTTCCCATAAGTAGCCCTTGGCAAATCAATAAGCATCATTTTCCAAAGATTACAAGCTTATTTTTCAAAAAGTCAAAATGAATTTCAAATAGGAAATGAAAATACATGTGAAGAGATTAAACCTTAGATCCAAAGGTAAAACTTTATGATTACTAGTTAATGCTTTGCCATGGTGTTGCTGAGTTACCGCTCTTTTTCTCATAAATGTTCTTAATTTCAACGCATATATTGAAAAAGGGAGATTATGCTTAGTATGTCTACCAAGTACTTGTAAATCACTTGGTAAGCTTGAAGATATTAATTATACTAACGATCACATGAGAAATAGTTTTTCACATAAATAATTTTTCTTTATCACATTTGGGGATTTCCAGTGATTGTATAAATTATGCACACATACCTGGTACCTCATTATCAATGCCTACAGCAACTAATTAATAGGAGCAGTTATACACTCTACATACCAAAGGGTAAAGTCTCCCAATGTTTATTATTTATCTTTGGAAGTAATGATATTATTCATCCTCATATGTGGGTAGCAGCTAAATTTATTAACATCTTTTATGCTTTCTTACTAATTTCAAGCAAACACCAGTAGACTGCAAAACCTTTGATGCTCAAATCCTTTCTGTGCAAATTCTTCTGCACATGATATAGCTAGATGACCCAAGGAATGTTGGGGGAAGTTAAGTGAAAGTGTTCAGCTATTCTTTCCTATTGAATGGTCTAATGCATTTGTTTTCTGTATGAGATTTCTTCTGCTAGTGCTCAGTAGCTCACACTCATTGCCCTTCCCTCACCAAGCCACCTACAGCTGGCACTGCTATGGGGACATTCTTGTAACATGACCTAGTCTTCATGGGCCAGTCTGGTAATGATTTTTATTAAAAGTACTTAACACATGACCTTTGATTTTTGAAACATCAATTCTAGTAGCTGTGACTTGACTTTTGGTCCTTTCATTACTTGAGAGGGAGAAATTAATCCTTTTCACTGTTACAGTGAATCAAGGATTAATTTCATTTTATTTTCAGATTTGGAAAAACAGAAAAAAATGTAAAACTGAGTTTCTCCAAATTCCTCCATCCCCTCTTTGGTTAGTATAAAAAATGAATTCGCTTACAAATAGCATTGTGGAGAGCAGTCCGGTTTATTGATTTAAAAGGACATGTCTCATTGACCTTTATTCCTGTTTGAGATAGTTCCATCCAATTTGATGATAGTGTTGTTAGGGGCAGAAAAAGAATATTGGTGACTAGCTATTATTCTATATATTAAAAGGGTAATATGCAAATTGACCCTAAAGATGGAACAACTGGGAGTGACTGGTTGCTATTATGCACACTGACCACCAGGGGGCATATGCTCCACAGGAGCTGCCCCCTGGTGGTCAGTGTGCTTCCACAGGGGGAGCTCTGCTCAGCCACAAGCAAGGCTGATGGCTACCAGCACAGCGAGGGATGTCTGACTGCCAGCTTAGGCCCGCTTCCCAGATGGATATTTCCTGAGGGGTCCTGGACTGTGAAAAGGCGCAGGCTGGGCCGAGGGACCCCCCCTTACCCCCAGTACATGAATATTCGTGCACCAGGCCTCTAGTTAAGAAATAGTAACCATGCTCTATTAACTGTGATTGTTCTGTTCTGATTATAGAAAGCAAATTCTAACCTGGCTGAGAGTTATATGCCCTTGGACATGGGAACTAACATCAGAATGCAGCCCATCCTCCTTTCCCGAGAGCTGCCCATCATTATGGAAAGAGTCACAACCACATGACTGAAACAATCTAGTCCCTGGAGCAACCCCCAGCCCCAGCCTGCATTGCTAGTTACCTGTAACCATTATACTATGCCTACTTTCCCATACCTGTAACTCTTACTTTCCTACATAATCTTTGTCTTTCTACCCAATATAAGCAGCTGGCTATGGGGAGGGGCAGAGCAGATTTTTGTGGATGACTTCCTGCTTTCCCATCCTGCCAGCATTATTGGGATAAACGCTCATATAGGATTCAGCCCTGTCTCCGCTTAATTGGCTCAAGTGGTGACAGGCAGCCTGGACCCCTTGGTTATTTGGTTACAGTATTATCCTTTTCATGGAGCACATTAATTTATTCCTTCACTCTAGGTGCATATGAGTAGTAAGAAAACAGAAAAAAACAGCTGATAAACCCAACGCCCCATTTATTTTTCAGGAACTACATTTCACAACCTTCTCTTTTTAATTCCACATATCCCATCGCACACTGACATTTTGCCTTACTCTCTCTAGAGCAGTGGTTCTCAACCTTCTGGCCCTTTAAATACAGTTCCTCACGTTGTAACCCAACCATAAAACTATTTTCGTTGCTACTTCATAACTGTAATGTTGCAACTATTATGATTCATAATGTAAATACCTGATATGCTGGATGGTCTTAGGTGACCCCTGTGAAAGGGTGGTTCGATGGCCAAAGGGGTTGCGATCCATAGGTTGAGAACCGCTGCTCTAGAGGGAACTACAGGGGAAGACAAACTCCTCTCAAAACATGTTCAGTTTCTTTGTAAAGAGCCTTTAAAAAATTTTTAAGTGGTTTTATCTGGAGAGCATTCCCCCAGAGGGAATTGGAGGGCATCATTTGAAAGAAACTCCTTGTAGCAAAGAAGGATGCTGTGGCTGAAATATGGCAGGAACTGAAGGATCTTGAAACTAAATTGAAAATCAGTTTTCCACTCTGCCCCTTCTTTCTGTTCTGTACTTCCAATGACTTCTTGAATCTCAAGTAACGTTGCTTGAAGAATGAAACATGCTTTCAACAAGGCCCTACTTTTATTAAAGAGTGCCCATCAGCACTTTGAAGAACTTTTTTTTTTTACTATTATAAACCCCAGCTGTCTTTATTTACCTTCCCTCTGCCAGTGCCCTGGTTTAGGCCTTAATTAATCATTGCTCAAAATATTGCCATACATAACTAATGGATCCCCCTGTCTCCAGTGTCTCACCCATAGCAGCCATTCTCCTTATCAGTAATGAACCACTTAAGCTCTCTAAGCCCCAAAGTTCTCATCTGCAATATGAGCTAACTAGAGGCCCAGTAGATGAAACTTGTGCCCTGGGGGTGGAGGGGGGCGGCTTCTCTCAGCCTGGCCTGCACCCTCTCGCAGTCTGGGACCCCTTAGGGGATGTCTGCCTGCCAACTTAGGCCTGCTCCTCATGGGGATTGGGACTAAGCCGGCAGTTGGACATCCCTCTTGCAGTCCAAGACCCCTTGTTCCTTATTGCCCACCTGCTCCCTGCTCCTTACCGCTTAGCTCATTGCTCCTTAGGGCTGCTGCAGAGGCGGGAGAGACTCCCACTACTGCTGCTACGCTCGCTGGCCATGAGCCTGGGTTCTGGCTGAGCGTTGCTCCCCCTGTGAGAGTGCACTGACCACCAGGGGGCAACTCCTGAATTGAGCATCTGCCCCTGGTGGTCAGTACACATCATAGCAACCAGTCATTCTGGTCATTCTGCCATACTGGTCAGTTAGGCTTTTATTATATAGACTAGGGGCCCAGTGCATGAATTCATGCACCTTGAAAGGGACTGTCGGCTGCGAGGCTGTTGTAGGCACAGAGGCGGTCTCAGCCCATCCTCTGTGCCATTGCCTGGCCCCTCCCACCACAGCCCCCAGTCCCCTGTCTGCAGGCAGTACTGTTCCCACCCCCACCACTCCCACACACTGACAGCACCGACCCCACTTGCACCCACTGATGGCGCAGAGCGATTGGGCCAACACCAGCAGCAGGTGCAAGTGGTGGCTGCTGCTCCGATCATCCCTCAGGAGCAGGGGAAGATGGAGAAGCCCTCAGGGAAGATCAGGTCCATTAGCTGCCGCTCATATCCACTGATGGCACCAACTCATCAGGATTGGCGCCAGGCACCGGCAGCAGGTGCAAGCAGGGCTGGGGCTGCCAGTGGATGCGACAAACTATCTACAACTCTGCTTTGCTGCTAACAAAATATACTCCACTTTAAATAGATTGAATAGGCAATAGGAATCAGGAGTGCACATGACCCTGGTGCTCAGCGCACATCATAGCAACCAGTTGTTTGGTTGTTCAGTTGTGCCAGTTGCTCTGCCATTCGGTCAATTTGCATATTAGCCTTTTATCATATAGGATAACAGCTCTACCTCAAAGGATTGTTGTGTGGATTAAAGGAGACAATGGGAGCACACTTGGAAATACCATCAGAGTGTTGATGCATAATATTTATGCAATGAATTGTAAATACTTCAAGGAAGAAAAAGAGGAAGGGAAAGGAAAGAGGGTGAATGTG